AAGAAGAAGAAGAAGAAGAAGAAGAAGAAGAAGAAGAAGAAGAAGAAGAAGAAGAAGAAGAAGAAGAAGAAGAAGAAGAAGAAGAAAGGGCTGGAGAGGTGGTTCAGTAGGTGACAGGGTCCCTGCAGGGGACTGGAGTTTGGTTCCCAGCACCCACTTTAGACAGTTCACAACCACTTGAATCCATTGCTCCAGAGGGTCTGATGTTCTTTTCTGGTCTCTATGCACACCTGTGCTCACAAGTGCAAATACTTTCCACCCCCCCAACACACAAAAATACATATTTTTTTAAAAAAATGGAAGCTAAACTTTAAATTTTACAGAAACACCTCACAAAACGTAACCCGGTTACCTGTAAAGACAAAGCCCGCTGCTGAGAGTACACGTGGCGATGTCCCATGGGCATAAAACGGCCAGTTCTCAAAGGACTCCAGACTGGCCTCCCCTTCTTGGCACCTTGCTTTGCCACCTCTCAGTTTCTCTGGACTCTTCACCCTTACATCATACTTGCCAATGTTACCAACATCTCTGCCCAAAAGGAACTCACATTCAGGACGTAATCGCCTGTGACTTTCTATGGGAAGATTCCTGAGTCTGGTGCAGAAGAGAATTAAACTACAGCAGAAGCACTGAATCCCAAGTTTCACCCCAGTAAGGTAAAACCCAGCGGCTGCCATCTCCTGTGGTGTCCATGATCTGAATGTGTCATAGGTCACAAAAGTCTTTAATCGTTTGGCTTCACTACGCATCTGTGAGTTAAAACCTTTCTTCATCCTCATTCGTTCTTTATGGTCCTCTTCTTGTTGTCTCTTTAAGACCTGAAGGGCATCCACACCGAGAAGGGCAGAGAACTCAGAGGCCAAATCATCATCAAATTCGGAAATTCTCTCCTCAAAGGCTTCTCCCTGGGCAGCCATTTTCTATCAGAGAAAGGAAAGCAGATGATTGGTGTTTGTCATGTTTATTATAAAGAGCTGTGTCTCAGGGCCAGAGAGATAACTCAGTGGGTAAAGGGACTTGCCACAATCCCGATGACTTCAGTTTGTTCCTCAAGGTCCACATGGTAGGTAGGAGACAAGCAACTCTTATAAGTTGACCTTTGACCTCAACTTGTGAAAGACAGAAAGAAGTTGCTTGAGAAACTATGAAACATCAATATTCATCCACATAATCAACAAATATTTGCTAAGCACCTACCTGTGTGTCAAGAAATGGGCTAAGCCTTGAGGACTGGTGATGAACCAGAGAGGGACCCTACTCCATTCGAGAAGACTTGCAAACATCCTTTGGCTTAATTACTTTCTTGCTTTTCTGAGACAGAACCCTGTATGTAGCCCATTCTAGCATAGAACTTAAGGTTGAAGCAGGCAACCATGGTAGAGAACTTAGTCTGGATCCTGTTTGGTTTTATAATAATGTCCTTGCATCCTAAATTCTTCATCTGTGCACACCCTTCACACAGACCTCCTTCAGAACCCAGCCACTTGTGGCCTCTGTCTCTGAACAATCTCACAGGCTTCCTACCCCTAGTAACAATCATGTTTATACTGTCCTATCTAGTCAAATACTACCAATGTATTGGCATAGGGCAACTGGAAAGGCTGATGTGGCCTGAACTGTGGCCTGAACTGGTTTTGGGTGCATATACAGGAAGGCTAAACTGTGCCTTTAAGTCAATGTTTGAGGAGAATCCCCTGTTCCCCATTTTGGGCATGTGTATGATTAAAATCACATGCTTTCTGGGAAGTGACATGCACAGTGACCAAGGACTTGCATAATTCAAGCTTGTCAGTTGAAAGAGTTCCCTGGCCTGGTGACTAACCTTTCCCTCTCCTGAGCCCCATAAAAGAAATCTCCAAGTAATAATTAGACCAATGGATACTCTGCTCATGTGGTCCACTGTCAATCTTGCAGGGAGTCTGTGCCACTGTTTCATTCCAGATAAGGTTATCTTGTTCTTGTGCCAATCTATATAAGCCTTTAATTTCAATTCTTTGGACAGGAAGCCAAGAACTTGGAACAATTCAACCCAGGACCTCAGCCTCTGGGATGCTGGGATGTTTACAGGTGGATGTCACCATGCCCCCTCAAAGTGTGAGTTATGGAAACAATATAGAACATAGGCATTTGTTTACCGTGCATGTTAAAGAATAGTGACAATTGGATAATATCATTCAGTTAAAAAATTATTCTTAATGATTTATTTTTAAGTATGTATATGCCTATGTATGTTCCAGAAAAGGTGTTGGGCCCCCAGGACTCAGTTACAGGCAGTTGTGAATGGCTTGGCCTGAGGGCCTTGAGCCAAAGTTGGTAGCTTTGCAAGGGTAGTACCCACTCAACTGCAAAGCCCTCTCTCTAGCCCCTTGAAACCATTGTTTTTATTGTGTTCACTTCCCAGGGTTAGTGCTCTGAATGTGGACTCCAGGTGCCCCTTATCTGAGTCTGTACGGCAGCCACTGGGGTTCACAGGTTTTATACATCTTTACAATGAGTTGTATAGAGCTCGTGGGTAGTTACAGGGTGGAGATTCCTATTATAGGAGAGACACTGATAAGCTCAGAATGGTGCCAGACTTGGACTATGACCTGGCTCCAAGAGAGGAAGGAAGTGGCTCTGTCTGACATTTTATATGATATTTGCACCATGCCTGCCTCCCTCTATGTTCTTACAAAGCTAGCTCCTCTTGAGCACACTCCCTTGGTTGAATGAAGCCCAGGTGGGGAAGGGTTTCAGTCTTCCACCTTTCATGTTAGTGTCTATAAGCTCTGTCTTCAATTCAGGAACATAATTATTGTAATGACTGCTATAGAATATATGAACCACTTTTCTCTTGGCCCGAATCGCCATGCCTGATTTTCCACACTTCTGATGGGGACAAGAGATATAAGCTGGTCAGGCTGTGTTAGGGCAGGTAACTGGAAAACAAGTAGCTTCTTTGACCGGAAGCCAGAAGCAGCCAGACTGACTTGACACCAACTCCTAAATGATTGCAGGGTCTTAACATTTGAAAAGTTAATGCTAGGTAGCTAAATAGAGCTCAGCAGCCTTTGAGGCAATCGAGGAAGGCCCACTCCCTTATGGCTGACTTTAGATATCACTTCCCATCACAAAGCTACTTCCTCTTGGCTATAAGGATGAAATCTGAGCTCTATTTCTGGCCCTCTGTAGAGATATGACATTCTCATCTGTTCTAAAGATTGCAACATTGCTTATTGCTGTCCTTTTTGAGTTATTATTACTAATTATTACTTCTCCTATGCATCACCTGGCCTGGAGATTACACTGATTCTCCTGAAGACAAGCTAAAGCAATGGAAGGAATACTTCTGCCCTCAGGGAGAAGACGTACTTCTCAGAAGCCCCTACTGTCTCCGCAGTTGCTTCCAGGAAGTCCTGCAAAGTCTGTCCACTGTTCTGAAATCTGAACTAAAAGTGCAGCTTTTCACATAAGTGTGCGTTTCTTGACACTCTGGAGTCTGCAGCCTGCTATCCTATGACCCTGATGCCTCACTCTCCATGCAGATGCTTGCAGACCCTCATTGCTAAACCTGCCTGCTGTCTTGGTTCCAATCTCCACAGCATGGTCTTTTCTTCTCAATCTTTGTTTAGCTACCTAGCATTAACTATTCAAGTCCACCACATCATCCTGGGCCGGGCTTAGGCCCTCCCCTATGTGTCCAGGCTGAGAGAGCATGCCATCATGTGGGATGGGCTCTCAAAGTCCCTTCTTACACCAGGGAAAAATACTGATCCACTACCAGGGGCCCCCTAGAGTGTGGAGGCCTCCTCATTAACATCCATGTTCAGGGGTCTGGATCAGCACATGGACTATTTTTGATCAATCTCAGGCTTGCCTACCCTGTTGGTTGCGACTTAGACTCTAATAAAATGGTCCTGAGTCCTTTAAAAATCTTTTGTTATAAGACTAAGAGCCCTAGTAAGAAATTCACATTTCCCTGGCAACACTTCATGTATGAGTGCATATGTGTGTGAGTGTGTGGTGTAAATGTAAGTGCAGGTGCACACATACCACAGAGCTCATGGGGAGCTCAGAGGACTTTTAGAGGTTGGGTCTCTTTCTTCCAACATCCCTTCATGATGGGATATGAGGGACAAATCAAGTCATCAGGCTCAGAAGACAGACACTTTTATCCACTGAGCCACTTGCCCCCCATCTCCTCTGTTTTCAAAGTCATACTTCTTTCTTAATGGCTTACTTACTGCCCTAATGGAGAAGAGTCAAGCCATTGCTGCTATTTCCTTCATAAATAAAGGTGAGTCCAGTGTTCTATATTCTGAAAATAAATCATTCCCACATTTTTCTTATTTTCTCAGAATAAATTCCTAAAATAAGAATTGCTGAGTCAGCTGCATGCTAGGGGAGGGATCTCGAGAGATTTCTAGTAGGACACACGCTATGAAGAAGGGAAAAGGGAAAGTTGGGGGGCAGGACTTTAACTGGCAAAAGAAAGGAGAATGCAAAGGGAATCAGGAGGGAGGAGGGATAAATAACACAAAAGATGTTTGAAAAACTCGTAAGAAATATTATTTTCTGTTTTAAAAATGCATATATATATGTAAATTCATGTTTACACATATATGTGTATATATACACATGTAATTTAAATGAAGTTATAATACATGAGGTGATGATGTTCCCAAGAGCCATAAACTATTCTAACAAAACCCTAGCTCCAGACACAGATAATCTCCCATGAGTTGTTAGTCAGGCGAGTTCACAAGACTCCCAGAATGATAAAGATTATTGCCTTTGCCCTTGGTTTCCTCCCAGACCTTGAAGGCAAGACCTTCTTGCTCTAGACATCACATACTTCCAAAGTAGCCCTTGGAGGGATCAAGCTCAAAGGGATCTGGGAGCCTCCTCCCTGAGGATTAGCCCACATGGTTTCCGAAGGTACTATGCAAGTTACCAAAGGAGGAAAGCAATCAGCCCTACCCAACAGAAAAGCCTCTGACCTCTGCAGTGACTGACTCAGT